TGATGCTGCTTGGCCTGCTGTGTTCATCCAGCTCTACACCTTGTTATCTCAGATTCTCCAGCATCTGCAGTTCCTACTATCGCTGCCCAGTACAGTTGGTTGTGAGTGACCAGTTCCTCGATACTGGGGATATTGGCCTGGGAGAGTACACACACGTCTTGTGACTGTATTGGAGAATCGGAATCACAGATGGTAATTCTCTGGTGTTTTCTACTAGATTTATAACATTGCTCCAATCATTGGCTACTTCCCTGGGCCACACCAGAGGATATTCAAAGTGCGGGAGGAAGTTGAAGCCATTATCCAGGATTTCATCCAACAGCACAAAGACACTCTGAATGGTGAAGAGGTCAGAGACTTCATCGATGCCTATTTACTGGAAATGAAGAAGGTGAGAACAGGCCATGTTTTCTGGTGTTTTTATTGGGTCGGTATGTGCAGTAGGCTCGAACACTGTGATTTGATCTGTGCCTTTGATGGCCTGTTTTTGTTCCAGTTCAGACTAATGGCTGCTTTGCTTAACATCTTATTTCTAAGGCAGCATCAGCCCACATAATAATGTGTGTGAAGCTAAACATGAACTGTCACCAATGTAATCTCTCCCACGAGACAAGATCAATTCAACTGGGCCTGGAGTCACTGGGGCTTAGAAGGATGAGAGGGGATTTTATTGAAAGTAATAATGTTCTAACAGGGCTGGACAGGCTAGATGCAGGAAGGATATTTCCTCTGGCTGAGCAGTCTAGAACCAGGGAACCATTTTGGACTGAGATGAGGAAAGATTTCTTCCCTCAAAGAATGGTGAGCCTGTGAAATTCTCTAGCACAGAAGGCTGTGGAGGCCAAGTCACTGAGTCAATTCCAGAGAGGCGTAGCTTCTATAGGCATCATGGGATAAGGGGAGAAAGTGGAAATATGGCTTTGAGATAGAGGAGCAATGATGGAGGAGGTACAAAGGGTCGAATGACCTACTCCGGCTCCTAATTCCTATGTTTCTATGTAATAGGATGGTGGCAAAGAATGAGGGCAATTCTTCACCCATGACCCTTTTGATCCCTTGACCTCTCCTACTTAGGTTGCTGTATTGAAATAGTGATGGACGCAGGAGGTGTGGAGGGAAAGGGCTCATCCTGTCAGATGTTCAACTGCTGGCCTGGTTATTGCTGGGAAATAATGACAAGCCCCAGAAAACTACTGTAAAATCCTGATACATTGCAGTTGGCTTTGTGGTAGTGTCCATTCTGTTCCTTAACATTATCTGTATTAAGTCCTGAAGGCTGACTTTAAGGGATCACCTCTGAACTTCAGGGCACCTCTCCACATGTAGCAGTAATTTTTTCTGGTATTTGTCAAAACATCGATATTATTTCTCGATATTGGCATCTCCGTTCCACAAATGAGGACCCACTGCAAATTTCTGATGGGCTTCAGTTCACTGTGTGGCCTTTCACAGACATTGAGTTCCCCTGACCTGTCATTCCTAGTGAAACACATTGAGGTCAACAAGACTTTCCACAGCCCAGGTCAGATGTGGGAAACTCAAAATCTAAAGACAGCCTTGTATGGCTTGGAGCACTGAGGCAAAGAATCAAATGATGTTGAGGTGAGCTGTTGTGAGACAAGGCAAGAGATAACATCAAACCATTTCAAGTTCATATCTGCTGTAGGTTGATGGTCTCCATTGTAAGGCTTAATTTGGGGAAGTGACGCCCTAGTGGTATTGTTATTAGACTATTAATCCAGAGACCTATGTTCACGTTCGGAAGGACTCTGTTCAAATCTCTGCAGATGTTGGAATTTGAGTTAAATAAAAATCTGAAATTAAGAGTCTAGCAAGGACCATTGCTAAATGAAACCCATTCAGAGATAGTAGGAACTGCCGATGCTGGAGAATCTGAGATAACAAGGTGTAGAGCTGGATGAACACAGCAGGCCAGGCAGCATCAGAGGAGCAGGAAAGCTGATGTTTCAGGTCTGAAGAAGGGTCGAGACCCGAAACGTCAGCTTTCCTGCTCCTCTGATGCTGCCTGACCTGCTGTGTTCATCCAGTTCTACACCTTGTTATCGCTAAATGAAACCCATCTGGTTCACTCATGTCCTTCAGGAAAGGAAACTGCCATCCTTACCTGGTCAAGTCTACATTTGACTCCAGACCCACAGCAATTACCCTCTGGGTAAGTAGGGATGGAAAATAAATGATGGTCCAGCCAAACGATGCCAAAAAACTCATGGACGAATAAAAAAGATAAACTCCTCATTAGAGAAGGTTATGGAGCTTATGTGACAATGAGGGGCTGTCACCACCTTCAACTCTGTCGAGCCACTTCATCAGCTGCATAAAAGAAGCTGAACAAGAAGCTTTAGCCGGAGCTCTATCGGCCCCTGGAAAAGGTGACTAATGGCATGGGGGTGGGCTTAACTATTGTACAAGGTGTTCCCAATTTAGTCAGTGACTTAATCCTGTTTGCAAAACAAATCCTCCAAGGAACCAATAATACTGTGTGAAAACCAAATCATTTATCAATGGATATGTTGGTGGAGTCAACAATATTAATGGCAGCAGAGTGTATACCAAAGACAGAAATTTTTTGATAATTGGTAAAGGACCCAGAGGCAACAGGATGAAAAAGATTTATGCAGTGAGTTGTTTTTGTCTGAAATGCAACTGCCTAAAAGGGTGGCAGGGAGCAGATTGGGGTAATTTACATAAGGAAATTGGATAATTTCCAGTGGAAAGCCTAAATGTTGCAAAGTGAAGCAGGATGAGTAGGAGGGCTAATTGGAAAGTTTTCTCATAGTGTCAGCACAGTGGTCTTTTTCTGTGCCGTACCAATATACGATTAAGTGGAAATAGAAATCCTTACACTGATGGGATAGACTTCAACGGGTTGATTTATTCTTGTGTTCCAACCCATTTTGGTGGGTACGAGGATGTTAAGTATTTGAAAGGACGACTGTAAGGATTGGCACAAGGTCAGCCTGATGGACCTAATAGAATGAGTTCCCTGATTGGAGTTGTTAACCTTGGTCTAATCAGGGAGCCCTGGCTGACAGATATAAGCAGGAATGTTAGGGGTTCTGTTCACTCCAAGAGCTGGCTCTGAGGAAGCTGGACCAGTGTCAAGCACTATATGCGTGTAAATAAAGGGTGACTTAGTGATGGGGGCGCCAGCCTCTGTGCAGTTATTTCAGTGATGACCTTCACCTTACAGGAAGAGAATTCTCCTGACTCTCGTCTGACTGAAGGAAACCTCTTCCATAACGTCAATGAACTGTTCATCGCTGGCACTGAAACTACAACAACTACTCTGCAATGGGCCATTCTGTATATGATGGCTTTCCCAGATGTACAAGGTAACACTGGGCCTTTCACTGCTAAACAATAGCTGCACTACAAACTGCCCATGATGGGAGTCTAATAAAGGAAGGCATTTCAGAATTCACATGCTGCTCAGTTTTATGCACTCCGTCTTCCAAAGAAAATATGTGTGTTTGCACCCATACTAGGATTGAGCTGACCTAAGTTCATAAGAGCATAGGAAATGGGAACATGAATACGCTACTTGTCCCACCATTCCACAAGATCTGCCCCAGGCCTCAGCTCCGCATAGCCCTCAACTCCCCGATATTTTAAACATTTACCTACCTGCTCTTTGATGTGGAGATGCCGGTGTTGCACTGGGGTGGACAAAGTCAGAAGTCACATGATGCCAGGTCATAGTCCAACAGGTTTATTTGAAATCACAAGCTTTCAGAGCGATGCTGTTTCGTCTAGTGAGGTAGACGTCACCTGATGAAGGAGCAGTGCTCCAGAAGCTTGTCATTTCAAATAAAACTGTTGGACTATAACCTGGTGTCGTATGACTTCTGACTTGGACTAGCTCCTCTTTATATACTTCCAGTGACCTAACCTCTACAGATCTTTGGGGTAGAGAAGTCCATACATTTGCTACGCTGAGAGGTGAAATTCCTTCATATCTCAGTGTTAAACAAATGTCCCTGTTATTCTTTAATTATAGAGTCTTGGAGTCATAGAGCTAGACAGCACAGAAACAGACCCTTTGGTCCAACTTATTCATGCCAACCAGATATCCTAAATTAATCTAGTCCCATTTGCCAGCATTTGGCCCATATCCCTCTAAACCCTTCCTATTCATGTCCCCATCCAGATGCCTTTTAAATGTTTTCTTTTAATTGTACCAGCCTCCACCACTTCCTCTGGCAGCTTGTTCCATACATACACCACTCGCTGCATGAAAAAGTTGCCCCTTAGGTCCCTTTTTAAATCTTTCCCTTCTCACCTTAAACCTGTGCCCTCTAGTTTTGGACTCCCTTACCTTAGGAAAAAGACCTTGACTACTCACCCTATCCATGTCCCTCATGATTTTATAAACTTCTCAAAAGTCACCCCTCAGCCTCTGACATTCCAGAGAAAATAGCCCCAGCCTATTCAGCCTCTCCCTATGGCTCAAACGCTCCAATCCTGGCAACATCCTTGTAAATCTTTTCTGAACCCTTTCAAGTTTCACAACATCCTTCCTATAGCAGGTAGACCAGAATTCTGTCCCCTAGTTCAAGGTTTCCCCACAAGTAGAAATGCCGACCATGTACAAGGCCCTTCAGAATTTTATATGTTTGAAGAACGTCATCCCACACTGTCCTAAGCTCTCATGAACAAAGGACTAACTTGTTTAGGTGCTCTTGAGAAGGCACTCTCTTCTTCTCAGAAATCAGCCTATTGAATCTCTTTTGAACTGCCTCCAAAGCCAGTTGTTCCTTTCTAAAAAAAAACGGGGACCACAACTGTACACAAGTTCCCAAATCACAGGCCAAAATTCCATTTGCTTCCCGAATGACTGAATGCACTTGCCTGCTAATGTATGTGTTTCACGCACAAGAACACTCAGATCCCTCTACGTTGCACATTGGTTGGAGTCTTGCCAACTTAAATAATAGATTGTTTTGATTTTTTTCCTACCTCACCGTTTCCTACATGAAACTTCTTCTGCCAGGCTTTGCCCACTCAGTCAACCTGTCTATCCTTTTACAGTTTCCTTATATCCGCATTACAATTTTCCCGCTTAGTTTTGTATCACCAGAAACATTGGATACGTTATATAATGCCTTCTCCTCTAAGACATTAATTGCAGATAGTAAATAATTGCGATCCAAGGACTGATCCTTTAGTCGTAGATAGTAAATAATTGGGATCTGAGGACTGATTCTTTTATTCGTAGATAGTAAATAATTGGGATCTGAGGGCTGATCCTTTAGTTGTAGATAGT